AATGCATAAGAAATGCGTGCTAAAAAGAGGTAAAATACAGAGATATCAGTTGTCTAATTTCAGAGGTCCTGATGGTTATTGTGGGAATATTGCTAATTGTGTTTTAGTCAACCCTCCTGTGATTGGGAGTTTTAAGTCCCATGATCATCATGTACTCATTCAAAACTTGTTACCTATTGCGTTGAGAGGGTTGCTGCCAAGCGGCCCTAGGACTGCGGTAACTCGAGTCTGCAACTACTTCAACAGATTGTGCCAACGTACGATTGACCCAGAGAAGCTAGTTTCTTTAGAGTCTGAGATTGTAGAGACAATGTGCCAACTGGAGCGGTTCTTTCCTCCTTCACTGTTTGATATCATGTTCCACCTCCCAATACATCTAGCAAGAGAGGCACGGTTGGGAGGTCCGGTGCACTTTCGCTGGATGTATCCTTTCGAGAGGTTTGTTCTTATCTTATTTCTATCTTTACATGTTGTGTTTTGAGACATGCTATTTTCTGACATATTGAGTACAAATATGAATTCTTGAATGAGTTGTAGGTACATGAAAACACTTAAGGCATATGTAAAAAACTATGCAAGACCAGAAGCGTGTATGGTTGAAGGATACTTGGCCGGAGAATGCATTTCTTTCTGCTTAGGGTTCCTACAGAATTCTGTACTAGTGCAAGAAGCTGTAAACCGTAACGAAGATGTTGAGGCTGATGGAAGTGTTGTTGAAGGCAGACCATTGCATAAGGGTCGAGAAGTTGTCCTTTCAGAGAAAGAGAGAGACATAGCACATCGATATGTCTTGATGAACTTCGCAGCTGTGGATCCCTATGTGGAGTAAGTTGAACCATACTCTCTCATTTACAGCTTCTTTACCTATCACACAGATAAGATAACTGCTCTACTATGGAATAACAGGATGCATTTGGAAGAATTGCAGTCTCAGGATGCTCGATGCGCTAGAAATGAAACTATTTTATGGAAATATCATACAGATCAGTTTGCCCAGTGGATAAAAAAAAAGGTTTCTACATATCTATTTCTAATTTTTTTTTACTTTAACACTCTTTTCATGTTTTAATTTCTGTCACTGATATTGTTTATGTTTGCCAGATTCCTTCTAATTCAAAAGATCACTCGACGAAGCTTCGGTGGTTGGCATTTGGACCTAGACTAACTGCTCAAACCCACAAAGGATTTGTCATTAACGGGCATCGCTTTCACACTGATGACATTAAGCGGAAGACACAGAATACTGGAGTGACTTATGAAGCTTTTAGCATGTGTAGATCTACTGCACGAGACACTAGACAAATGGCTGACATAGTTACTTACTATGGAGTGATCAAGGAAATTATACTTCTAGACTACCACATGTTCACAGTGCCATTATTCAAATGCAATTGGGCCAATAGAGGGTATGGTGTAAAGGAAGAGGATGGATTCACGCTTGTGAACCTTCATATGAATCAATCGTCATATCTCCAAGATCCATATATTCTCCCATCACAAGCAAAACATGTTTTCTATTCCAGAGAGAATGACACATCACCTTGGTATGTTGTTATGAGGGCTCCTCCTAGGGGCTACCACGAGTTGGAGACAGAGGAAGAGTTTGTTGGTGCACCTTTATCACCCCAACCAGTTGATGATTTAGAGATTCAATCTTCTGATTAGGCCTGGGCGTTCGGATATTCGGGTCGGGTTCGGGTCGGGTTTTTCGGGTTCGGTTTTTTTGGGTTTAGAAAACTAAGACCCGTTCGGGTATTTTAAAACATCGGGTTCGGGTCGGGTTCGGATCGGGTATTTCGGGTTCGGATTCGGGTTTACCCGAAGTATCCAAATATTAGAAATTTTGTATCCGATTCTATGCAAAGTATTGAAAAATACTCAAAAAATCTATAAAACCTAAGTATTTTATACCCGAATGTAACCCAAAGTAGTTAAAACACTTGGAAATATCTTAACATCCGAATTATTTAGGCACTTAGGTTATTACAAGTATAAATATTACTAATATATTATAACTATGTACTTATATTTGGGTATGTTCGGGTACTTGTTCGGGTTTGAGTTCGGGTCGGGTTCAGGTTTGGGTTTTCGGGTTGTGAAGTTTAGAACCCGTTCGGGTATTTTAAAACTTCGGGTTTGGGTTCGGACCGGGTTTTTCGGGTCGGGTTCGGTTCGGTTCTTTGGGTTTGGGTATTATGCCCAGCCCTACTTCTGATGATGAGAGTTTCTATGTTAGGGAGGATTGTGAAGGGATCACAGTTGCAGAGTAATAGGTCACTGTGATAGGAGAATTGCAGTGATGTTTTTAATTTTACTTTCATGTTTCGTTTTGCAGGATCTTAAGTGATGAAGACAAGAGGAGGATTAGTCCGTCGAAGTAAACGTCAACAAGGCTTGGATGCTGTAACAGTCATGCAGCGGCCAAAAGCCACCAAAACAAAGAAGAAAAGAATAGGAGAAGTGATGACTGATGTTGTTAACCTTGAGGAAGCTGAAGAAGCTGTTGGTGATCTTGTTCAAGATGTTCAGAAGTTTGGTGATATAGCTGCTGAGGAAGTTGTTGGTGGTCCTGTTCAAGAAGTTCAGAAATTTGGTGATGTAGCTGCTGAGGAAGCTAATGGTGATCCTGATCAAACTGTTTCTGAGAAAGAAGTTGCTAACACTAGTCAACAACCAGCTGAGCAAGTAGATGCTCAAGATGATGATGAGACTGTTGAACCTATGGCAGTTGAAACTGACAATATGAATCAAGATTCTCAACCTGTTGCATCTGAACCTAATGCTAGGGAAGATGACTCTCATCGTACTGATGCTGGAACTGAGATGCGTAGCACTTCAGGACTAGGAACACCGCAGTCAGCTCCCACTATAAAGAAGAGAAGAGGGCCGACCAAGATGCGTAAAGTGGCTAAGGATCCTCAGGACAGGGTTGAAGTGTCATTCACTGAGCTTGGTGAACATGTAGGTCCTGGTTCAGTGACACTATCATCATTTGTTGGTGCTATTGTGCGTGAACATGTTCCGGTAACACTTGATGATTGGAGAAAACTGGATAGTCAGACAAAGGATACACTTTGGGAGGAAATACAGGTTTATGAACATTAGTGTATAACAATATTTACAATTTCTGATATTCTTATTAAACTATCAAGTCTAATTTATGTTTATTTTGCTACAGGGGAGGTTTAATTTGCAAGAAGAGTGGCAGAAAGAATCTGTTTTCAAGCAGATGGGTTGTATATGGAGGTCTTCAAAGTCTAAGCTCCTAGGTCTAGTTAGAGATGCAAAGAGTAGCACAGAGAGAATGAAATTGAAACCAAGCAATATCCCATCTATTCCAGTTTGGAACTCTTGGATTAAGAGTAGGACTAGCACAACTTTTAAGGTTACACTTGTTACTATTTTCTTTGTTATTCATGTGATTTGTCTTGGAGAAAAATAACCAAACCTACTTGATTGATATTGCAGGAAAAAAGTAACAAGTTCAGGGCATTGAGGAGGGCTCAGATTCCCCACACTACCAGCCGCAAGGGAATGTTTTGCCTAGCTCATGAAATGGTGAGACTCTTTTCTGTAATGAATATCAGATTGTATAATAAAAGGTAACAAAATGCTAGCTGATAAGTAATCACTTTGGCTTATTTGTAGAAAAAAAAAAGTGATGACCCTAAAAAGATCACTAGGAGTAAGGTTTGGATAGCAGGACACACTCACGCTGATGGTAGACCCGTGAGGCCAGAGTTTGCTGACACTATTGTAAGTAATCTTTCTCTTCTTAATGTCTATGTCCCTGATCATTAAGGCAATCTACATGACCCAATTTGTGCTCAATTATTTGTATCAGGAACAAATACAATCACTTGATAGTCAAATGGACGCCACATCAGGTGATAACATAAGAGAAGATGTTGTCAGTAAAGTGTTGGGAAAAGACAAACCTGGACGTGTCAGAGGGATGGGCAGAGGGATAACTGCTACCAAGCTAGCTTTCATTCAGGCTAGCGACTCTAGACTTGAAGAGTTGCATAACGAGGTTAAAGACTTGAAGAATCAGATCCGTGACTTGGCTGGAAAGAATGTAAGTTTATCTCTCCTTATTATAATGAATTAGCTGAATATAGTTATGTCTTCAACAATTCTTTTTCTTATTTGTTAGAAAAACTCTGGTGCTGGAATTCTCAATCTGAGGTTCGTGATGTAGGCAAAGGAGTTAGGTGTCAGATACTGGATTGGTATGCGAATAAAGATATTGTTGTTGGTGAGGGAGAATTTTGCTCTGCTGAACCTCAGTATCGGATTGGCCGCATTCCACTGGGTGAACATAATTTTATTTATATACGAAATTATATATATACTAGATGTTAACCGGCGGTACACCGCGGGCCTATATGTTAATTGAAGAAAAAAAACTAATATTTTTTAAAAGATGATTTATAGATATATGCTATTGTTTTGTTTTATCTAAATGTATGGTACACAGCATGACGATATTTTATAACAAAAAAATTAAAACTTTAAGTTGTATTTGTTTTGTTTAGTGTTTAAGATTGTATAATTGTATTTTGATTGTTAATTCTAGAATTTCACCCGTAAAATACAATCCCCGTATTAATATCGACCTAAATCCGTCCCACCATATAACCTCATCCCGTGAAATTAAACTTCATTTTGTACTTTTTTATAAAGTTCAAATTTTATAATATTTGAAACTGCAGTCAAGTTTTAACTTTTAATATTGACTCAAACTTCATAATTAAATTTTGATTTTTATATCTAGGATTTCATCCGTAGTATACCGTCTCGTATTAATATCTTTTATAAATATTTAGAATGTTTAGACTTCTTATAAATTTTTATAAAATTCAAATATTTATAATATTTGAAACTTCATAAATGTTTTAATATTAAAAACGTTTAATAAAGTTTATCTTTTTAAAAAGTTTAAATAATTATAATATTTAATTTGTAATAATCTTTAAATATTAAATATTTTAAAACTTTATAAAAGTTTTAATTCTTTACAATAAAGAACCGGAGTAAACCGGATAACACTTTTAATTTTGGACACCAATAATTAAAGTTTTCTTCTCATTCGTTTTCAAAATCATTTTGGTCATTTTTATAGTATGATTCTGAATCATTGCCCAATTTTTTAAGCATTGTGGTACATTGTACACCTATTTTTTTTGCTTCATCGATTGAGTAATATATGTTTGTTTTTAAAAAAATTGAATCACATCATTGTAGGAAAATCTAATATTTTATTAATTATATATATTTTATATAAATTCAAAATAAATCAAATATAAGATCAAATAAAAACAAAAGAAGAATCATATATTTATGTTTAAATTAAGTAGAGAAATGTGAGGAAATTAGCAATTAATTCAATGTAGTTAAAAAAAAAATATAAGATTTAAATGAGAATTAAGGATTTAACTAAATCTTTTAAAAAGTAGTTAAGGTAAAAAACAAATATGGTTAGTTTAGAGATATCATATAGTATATGTTTCCGATTTAGATGGTAAGTAAGTAATTAATGTCATTTTAAATTTTTGTTAAATGGTTATCATAATATAGAGATTTTTAACTTTTATAAAATTAATTACTTTGAAAAATAAAAGACAATCAATAAGAAGAAACATTACATAGCTATATTTGTGTATCATATAAAAGGGTTTAGATAATGATTTTTTTTTCTTTCTTTCTTTTTCCGTAAATTGTAAATCTTTTTTTTCACCTCAATAAAAGAGTCGCCAATTGTTATACAAAAAATCTTTATCCCCTTGGATTATCTTCCTGATTCAGCACAGATCTTTTATCGATTACACCTATGAATTCAGATTTGAAAAAAAAAACATACCAAACCAATTTAATAATCCTACAACTTCACAACCACGTGACCTTAACCCTACTCCACAATTCCGGTTTAATAATCAAATTCCAAAACCCAAACAAACAATCGTACGAACCATCACCACTACGTGTGACCAACATCACAAGCCAACTCACGATTCCAAGTTTTGATTCTGGATTTAAATTACGAAAGGGATCTTTTGGTTTAGCTTGGTTTACTTTCACGGTTTAATAATCACAACAACACCAAGCAACACAGACACGAGAAATGGATTTGCCGGAATATATTTCTCTGCAAGTTTTCTCGATGGTTTGATCTCACAGTTCGAACGACAAAGTGGATCTGCGATGGTCCAGATCAAAACCTAATTTTGAAGAGTTCTGAGTGCTATTCCACATCTTTCACCAGTTTTGATTCGAAGAGGTGATGCAAAATTGATAAACAACGACACTGGAAAAGATGATTCGAAAATCCAATTATCGCATGGAGACCCAAAACAGGCTTTTGATAGAAGTAGAAATGGTTGTCATGGTTGGTGTTTAGATCTTGTGAAATGAGGGTGTATTTATAGTGTTATGATATGTTTGTAGGGTTTTAGATTAGAGAATTTAAGAACATCTTGGTGAGCAAGTATAAAATAGCTTTACAAATCTTTAAATCGATAAGATATAGAATATGCTTTATAGATGCTTCGTAGAAAATAAGAAAAATCTTTTGATTGTGCAATATTTCCTATTGTTGTTATATATATTAAATGTAGATTTAATATTGTTCAATTTTATTAGGAAACATAAGAGATGTACCGAATATTTTTAGCATACAAATAGGAAAAAATGCGATTATAGAAAGATAAGTTTGAAGAGACAAATTAGAAACAAAATCGGTTTGGTAATATATTCAATTTAATTTTTGGAATGGTAAGCATTTAAGATAATTTCGAAAATATATGTATAATTAAAGAATTAATTTCGTTATGGTACTCGAATATATTAGGAATATTCGTATTGTTAGTTTATTTAATTCATAAATTATAATTTGCAGATTTAAAGGAAGATCTTCTCGAGATTTTAGGAATATAATCGAGATTTTAGTAACAAATATGATCACATTAAATTTTCGAAAGATTTGAAAGATTTGTGTCCAAATTGTTAGAAACAAATTAGGACAGATAATTTTTGGTTAGTATCTTATTAATATTTTCAAATCTTTAGAATTAAACCCATTGACATTATATTGCTGAATTTATTTTTTTAAAATTACGTAATATTAAATAAAAAAATTAAATAACTAACTATTTTCATTTGATGGTGTAGACAAATTATTATTATTATTTATGTAATTTAATTACAAATAACAAATATTAATTTTTATAACAAAACAAATTATTTTCGTAAGAACAATTTTTTCCCAAATCAATATTTTACAAAATATTTATTTTAATCACATATTCTTTCTATATAGAAATAAATAGTTAAATAATTATGGTTAGAAGTAGTTAAGGTAAATAACAAATATGGTTAGTTTAGATATATTCTATATATTTCCAATTTAGGTGTTAATTAAGAATTAATGTGGTTTTAAGACAACATTTCTAAAATTCCTTATCCAAGATCCGGATAGAGTTAAATCCGGGTAACACCCGGATCCAAATGAATTAATGCAAAAAAACTCTATAAAAATGTATATGTAGATATATATCCATCATTTATTTTATAAACCAAATTTAAATAGAACTGAAATTACTAAAAATTTACAACAATGATTATCCAAATAAAAATTCACAGATTTTTAAATCAAATTCAAATTAGACAATCGATGACATATTTTCAAACGCGATAAATAATAGGATGATTAACTGCTATAATACTAAATGCAATCAAATAAACTCTTTAGCAACATAAGGAAACTGCTATTAATATATTAATTGGAAATAACTACCAAATGCTATAATAAACCGTGCTATAAATAAACTATTTAATAACAAAAACAAACTGCTATTGAAAACTCTACAATTGCATATAAAGCAACGCTATCAATAAATAATTAAATATAGCACTTAAGAAAAGCGCTATAGAAAGTGGAAGACCTATTATCGCGGGCGATGACATAGCGTTTTTATTAACGCTGTCGTATTGTACAATAGCGTTTTTATGACGTTATTAATACCCGATTTTCCTGTAGTGAGACTAAGGGTTTTGCTGGATATACGCACCAACAAGATGATCTTCTTAGAAAAGGTTTTTGATAAAAAAAAAAGATGAGTTCTCATAAGAGATTACAAGAGGATATATAGGAGAGAAGAGAATGTAGAGAGACAAGTCTTGGAACAAGCTCCAAGGCTGCCTAGAAACTTAACAAAATATTAAAGATAGAATTTGAATAGAAAATACTCTTTGGCTTCAAAGATGACCCTTGAACTTCTATTTTCGTCACTCCTCTTGACCAGCAAATTAAACACTTGGTTTGGGCTCTTCTTGGGCTTGTGATGGCCATAAAATAGGCTGGACTCCATATATATTCCATGGGGTAGACTTCTGAATGGTTTACCATGGGCCGGATCAACAAATGGGTGATTTGAATGTGAATCATTTGCCTCATTAAAAACCTTGTCAAGAAAACCCATTGGGACAAAACTTGACAAGGGAAAAAGAGTACAAATGAGACACATGCCCACTTGATGATCATGTATCAAAACCAGCGA